AGAGAGAGAGAGAGAGAGAGAGAGAGAGAGAGAGAGAGAGAGAGAGAATATGAGAATGAGAATGAAAATGAGAATGAATGTGTGTTTAGGAAGCGCTTATGTGCACAGACATTTTTCAAAAACATGACCAATCTAAAAATTCTTCTCTGGAATTCGGAGACCGATAACCTCCCATTTCCAGTCAGTCTTCTTGCCTGCCCCTATAGTTCACCCTCCTCCAGTTCAGTATTAAAATGGCACACAGTCAGTGGCATTGTTGGGGAAAAAATTATTTTTTCCTTTGAAAAGGAAGGAAGATTTTAAACTATGGGACACCGCTAAAGGTTCGCAGGTGGAAGGATCATACTTGTGCCCAACATTGGGATCTTAGTACTGTATTCAGGCAGAGAACCACTAGTCTCTGCCTCTCCTCACCCTTCCCCCCTCCTCATTTTGCCTTTTAACAGATAAAGAACTGATTTTTTTTTATGAGAGGGGGGAAGGGGAAACAAAAACAAAACTATACTGGGTTGATTGGTATAGGAAGGGAAATTTTTGAAGAGAAAAGACATTTAGTGAGAGGCTGAAATATGTCAGAAATATGACCTTCCTAAAATACTCATCTCTCCCAGGGGCCTTTCTTTTTAAGAGATGCTTTAATAATAATTTTAAATGGAAAAATCTGCTTCTCTAAAGTGGATGAGGTTTGGAAGGTGTGGTAGTGTGAAGGAGATTAATAATTGAGAACATGTCCTTTAAGCAGGAACTAGGTTTCTGTCTATAAACCTGTCATTTATCTTGTTCAGAGGTTATAAGTGTGAGCAGGCTATAATGAATTCACCTTAAAAACCTTGCTAAAAGGAATTATCCCTATATTTTAACATGTTTTGGACTTTTGTAAGTGTCTATCTTCCTATTTCTTTAATCTTCTCATTGTATACAGAGACAAGTCTCCTTATGGACTAATGATGAGTGATTATGATGTAATAACTCTGACTTGTGACTTAACACGCTTGTTAATTTTCATTTATGCAATCAATTGGAGAAGGGAAACTGGCAAAAAGAGGAAATGCTGGTGGTATTTCATTTACAATTTGAAACAAAAGTATATGACTGAGATTGCACTGTTAATACTGTCAGTGCTTATGCTCAGTCTTGCCTCCAAAGAATCCAATTCAATTAGACACTGGCCTTTATGCCACATTTTGGTTTTGGAGAGTAGTTGAGGTAATAGAAAAAACAGTTGTTGGAACTAACAAATGCTTTTGGTATTGCTCATTTTACTGGAGGCTAATTAGACATAGCTTGGGAAAATAGGAGTTGCTCCAACTCCTCAGCAGGTTGGCAGATAATGTATTACAAAATTTCTCAAAATAATTGGGAAAACTAGAGCTTGATTTTCACTATATTGAACATGAAGCACACACAACTGTTTTAAGGGTAAAAATGACCTTGAGTATTTTCGCTGATGTTTCCTTTTTATGATTATGATCTGTTGAAAGAAGTAACATTAAAACGATAATTGTTCTAACAAATACAACGAAATTTACTTTCTGAGTTCTCCATACAGAATTGTCTGTATGGCAGCGAAACACACTCTCTCAAGGGTATTTGTTGTATCATTTTAGCCTGAAAGAACATAGGCATTGGAGGGACTTGTTAGTAATTTGCAAGAAGTTAATTAACATATGTAACACTATACATTTGTTAGAAAGAAACTAATATGTTACCTCTGACAAGGTAGCAGAGTAAATGGTAATAGCGTTGATTTCTTCAATGGATTTCTCAAACTGTATTTAGTTCTGACTGAGCTGTAACTTTGGATACTCCCGTGTGGGAGGCTGTCCTTTCTTATATAGCTACAATCTATCAGTTCTTGTTTGTGAGAAACTAAGAAGTGATACGCTGGTTAATGTTCCTGATGATCAGAATATGAAAATTTATAATACAGAAAGAATGACTTTTTACCCTTTTAAGAAGTAATGTGGTAAAGTAGGACGCCTGACTTCTGGTCCTAGCCCTGCCACTAACTAGCTGTGTTGCAGTGGGCAATAAACTGAACCTCTCTGGTCTCATAGGATCATAGGATTTAGTGTTGGAGTGGACCTTAGAGGTTATCTAGGAGTTGTTGTTGTTCAGTTGTTTCAGTTGTGTCTGACTCTTTGTGACCCCATTTGGAGTTTTCTTGGCAAAGATACTGGAGTGGTTTGCTATTTCCTTCTCTAGCTCATTTCACGGATGAGCAAACTGAGGCAAACAGGGTGAAGTGGCTTGCCTAGGGTCATACAGCTAGTAAGTGTCTGGGGCTGGATTTGAATTCAGGAAGATGAGTCTTCCTGACTCCAGGGCTAGCACTGTCTCTACTGCCCCATCTAGCTGTCCCTATCTAGTAGAACCATGTCATTTTACAGATGAGGAAATGGAGGCCAATAGAGGAAAAGCAACTTGCACAAGGTCACATAGACCTTATAGAGGTGGGATTTGAATCCAGGGTCAGTGTTCTTTCAGTGTACCACATATCTCACTCAGTTTCCTCATCTGTAAAATAAGGGGATTGGATTAGATCTCTGTGGACCTCTTTAGCTCTAGCATGACATGATACATTTAAAATTGAAGATGATTATAGATATTTAGGGCAGCCAGGAGGCACCACAGTGCACAGAGGGCCCTGGAGTCAAGAAGTCCTGAGTTCAAATTTGACTTCAGACTATTAGTAGCTGTATGATTCTAGGTAAGTCACCTCACCTTGCTTGCCTCAGTTTCCTTATCTGTAAAATGAGCTGGAGAAGGAAATGGCAAATGACTACAATATCTTTGCCAAGAAAACCTGAAAAGGGGTCACAAAGACTCTGACAGGACTGAAAACAACTCAACAACAACAACAGAGCAGATATTTGCAAGTAATATAATAATTTAGATAAAAAGCTAGTTTGCAAAAAATAAATGGCCAAGTTTGGAATAGGGTAGCAAGCCAAAAAGTCTAGATTATCTATTGAATTGGGGGTAAATTATGGTGAATCTACACTAATTCTTTGAGAACTCACAGTGGACATGGGCCTGTTGACAGTCACCATGACTTATTCATACTTTTCAAAAAGAGAAAAACAATTACCCTTTAAAAAAAAAACTAAGACAAAACATAGGAGAGTTCATTTCTCTTTTAATACTTTCCCCATCCTAAATTAGAAGAGGGACTGTCCTAGAATATCATCTTGGCTGCAATCTTAGCTGTAGAAGTCTAGAAATGTTTTTCTAGTTGTCTAGTTAATCACATGGTAAGCTTATTTTGAGGTTTACATTGAAAAGGTGTATGTATGTAGGTGTAAGGGGGTGGTTTACTATCTCCCCATTAGTATATAAGCTCCTTGAGTATAGAGATAGTTTCTTTGTACTTCTATTCCCAGCTCCCAGCAAAGTTTTGGCCTGTAGTAAGTGCTTAATAAATGTTTTTGATTGATTTATTACTTAATTATTTACCACTTATGTTTCAACAGAGGAAAACTTCTGCTAATTTGCTTTGTGAATTTGCATCAATTTGAGTTAAAATACTATATTTAAAGATGTATATTTTGGGTGTATTTTTATATATCTGATCTTAGTTTAAGAGTGCTTAGGATTTTACTTTATATCCTGTTTTATTAGGGTTACATAATGGTACTAGTGACTTCTGGGTGAGGTCATATGCATTTGCCAATTTCACTTAGGATCAAGGTAACATCTATCTTTGCTGCCACAGTGCAAGTTTTTATAATCTTTTCAGGGGGGTATAATTTTGAATTTAAAGCAGTTTTTAATAAGTTGGAATTATTATCAAGATGCCAATAAAGATCTATCCATAAATTGACTTTTGTGAATTCTATAAAACAAAGTCTAGCTCTGTTTGGCTCTGCACTATCTAGATCCCTTGGTTTTCCTCCTTTATGCCATCTTCCTATCTTTTGGCCATTTTC